GTGTCGTGCCGACGCGGCATGGGCCCGCCGCTGGCATCCACGGTTGAACGCCGCCAGTGGCGCAGACTATGCCAGTATCGAGTGGTTTGGCGATCGAGAATCTGCCCATCGTTCAAGCTTGAACGATCCACGCGGCGTCAGGAATCAATGCCGAGGTCATAGCACACGAACCTGCCGCACGTCCGCCGCTCGTGAGTGGGCTTCTTCCACCAGTGAACGCGTCAGACCCCTCTCCGATCGCGGGGGGGCGCCCCGCGGCGCAGGCGCAGAAGGCCAGAGAGAAGGCCTGGACCGCCGCGCTGTTCCTCCTGGACTCGCCCGACGAGGAGGCGCCCCGGGGCACCGAGCCGCGCCCGGCGCCTCGAGGAGCCCCCGACGGTATACAGCCAGGACGCCGACGTGCGGCAGCGAGCCCGGGTGGGAATAGGGGGCCACATGCGAACCCTACCCCCACCCCCCACGATTTCTGAGGGGGAGGGTGGGGTTCACGTCGCTCGGGAGCTCCCGAACGAAGGGAACCCCACCCTCCCCCTCAGAAATCGTGGGGGGTTTCGGGGTAGGGTTCGCATGTGGCCCCCTAGGTACAGCCAGGACGCCGACGTGCGGCAGCGAGCCCGGGTGGGAAGTCAGAGGGGGCAGGCCTCTTCAGGAGCGGCCGGGCTTCTCAGTAGAGCCGAAGAGCCCTTGCCTTGGCATCGCTCGGACGTGTGCATTTTTCCTTCGGCGAGGGCCTTCGAGGAGCATCCTTGATCATTTGGTGAGAAAACCACGCACGAAACCAGCAAAAACACAGGGGATGGACGTCCGAGCGATGGCCAGTGGCGCCGTCTGGGAAGTCCGCCACGCCCTTGCCGGCGGCAGGAGAACGCCACCTTTGAGGGAGAGAGAGCCCGCCCCCCGGGCCACTTCACCCCTGGGCTCGCTGGTAAGAGAGCACCGCGGCGCTCCGCTAGTACCCCCACGGGCCCGTCCAGCAACGACGCTCCGGCGACCTGTGGTGAGGAGGGGAGTGTTCAGGAGGGGAAAAAGCACACAGACACGATTAATCGTCGGCTCCCCAGAAAATGTGGGAAACTATGGGAAGTGGGGGAGAAGACGAAAACCCAGAAACTATAGGAAAATATGGGGAATCCTGTTATTTGTGTGTTTCTATGTGTGTGTCCCAGGGCCCCTTCAAGTGTCTTCTGCGTCGCTCGGACGTGCGCACATTTTTTTCTCGGCGAGGACCCTCGAGGAACATCCTGGACCATCGAGCGAACCAGAGCACGCACGAAACCGAAAAAAGGCACGGGGAACTCAGGAGGAAAAGAAACACACAGACACAATTAATCCTCGATTCCCCAGAAAAAATGTGAAAATATGGGAAGTGGGGGGGAAGACAGAAACCCAGAAAAGATGGGAAAATATGGGGGATACTTCTATTTGTGTGTATTTATTTGTGTGTCCCAGTTCCCCTTCAGGAGCGGACGTCCGAGCGGCGGCAGGGCGTGGGCAGCACGCCGCGGGGCAGCGAAGGGTCCGAGAGCCTCCCTGCGAGGGGGGCGCCCGCGGGGCGGCGCTTCAACAAGTGTCTTGGCATCGCTCGGGCGTGCGCATATTTTTTTCTCGGCGAGGACCCTCGGGGAACCTCCTGGACCATCGAGCGAACCAAATCAGAGCCCCGAATCATCAGGGGTAACTCGGGTCAGGGCTAACTCGGGTTCCTTTTTCGGGAATCCAAGCCCGAGTTACCCCGGACCCGAGTTACCCCGGACAACTCGGGCGCCCCACCAAAGCTCGGGGGTGGACAGAACCCCCAACAGTGACACGTCGATTAGTGAATTGTCCGTTTTCCGTTCTCGAGAGGGCGCCGTGGCCGCTATTTTCCAGGCTTGCGCCCGCCAGGTTTGGGCCTCAGGTCGTTTTCACTAAACCACGTTTTACTAAAGGGGGGTCTGTCCACCCCCGAAGCACGCACGACACCGAAAACTGCACGGGGAGCGGGCGTCCGAGGCGGCGGCAGGGCGTGGGCAGCGCGCCGCGGGGCAGCGAAGGGTCCGAGAGCCTCCCGGCGAGGGGGGCGCCCGCGGGGCGGCGCGCCGTGCCGCCCTGCGGGGCGCATCCGACGCGGCGGCCGGGACGCCGCAGCTCCCCTTGCTCCTCCTCCTCCTCCTCCTCGTCCTCCTCCTCCTCCTCCTCGTTCTCGTTCTCCTCCTCCTCCTCCTCCTCCTCCTCGTCCTCCTCCTCCTCCTCCTCCTCCTCCTCTTCCTCCTCCTCCTCCTCCCCTCTCCTCCTCCTCCTCCTCCTCCTCCTCCTCCTCCTCCTCCTCCTCCTCCTCCTCCTCCCCCTCCTCCTCCTCCAGAGGAGCGGCTCGGGCTCCGAGGGGTCCGAGGAGGGCGATCAGCGCTGGCCGCCGCGGGCGGCCCAGACTCGCTCGATGTTTTGAATGCTCCGACGCTTCGGCACCGTCCGATCGTTCAAGGTGGAGACGCTCCCCGCGGTGTCAGGGAGCAGCGCCGGGTCGACAGGACGCGAACCGGCGGTATGCTGTCTCAAGCGGGGCGTTTTTCAGTCTGGGCGCCGACCGACAGGTCCTCCGCTTGCGCGGACATCCGGTGGAGTGGGAGAGCGCTCGACTGGGCGCCGTGGCATGGGGTGCCGGCTGCGAGGACGCGAGGCGGACGGCACAAAGTCTGGACCGACGCTTGACGACGACATCGTATCTTCACCCTCCCGGCGCAAGGCCGGAGGGCGCTCCTGATACCTCCATGGGCTGTGTTCAGGAGGGGAAAAAACACACAGACACAATTGTATCGGCGATTCCCAGAAAGTATAGGAAAATATGGGAAGTGGGGGGGAAGACAACCCAGAAAATATGGGAAAATAGGGGGTATTTTCATTTGTGTGTATTTATTTGTGTGCCCCAGTTCCCCTTCATGTGTGTCTGTGTGTGTGTGTGTGTCTCTCTCTCTCTCTCTCTCCTGATTTCCCAGGGGGGGAGCGCACGCACAGGTACAAATCGTCGTCGGTCCCCGGGGAGATGGAGACAAGAAGAAGAGGGGGGGGAAGACTGCGATCCAAGCATTCTGTGCACAAGTAGGGGGAACCCTGGAGTTTGTGTCTATTCCTTTGTGTGTCCCTGTGCTCCTTTCATGTCGGCACTCGTGGGCCCGTTTTTAGGCATCTTTCTGGGCGGATCCGAGGTCCCTGCACGGTTCCGGGACCCCCAGGGAGCCCCTCGTGGTGGCGTGCCCGCGCGAGTTGTCGGCGCATCCGGGTGCTCGCGGCTCGAAGAACAGCAGCCCGCGCAAGCACAGTTCATTTGAGCTCCGTGCGGATCTCTTGGATCGTCGTTGGGCCCTCTGGTGATAATGACGATGATAATGACGATGATGCTGGTGATGATGATGGTGATCATGATGGTGATGATGATGACGATGGTGACGATTATGATGATGATGCTGCTGATGCTGCTGATGATGATGACGATGACGATGCAGATGCTGATGATGGTGATGGTGATGATCATGGTGATGGTGATGGTGATGGTGATGATGCTCTGTTTTTGTTGTCGATGAGGATGATGATCATACTGATGATGCTGATGATGACGATGATGATGCTGCTGATGATGATGATTATGATGATGCTGTGATAATGATATGATGCTGCTGATGATGATGATGCTGCTGCTGATGATGCTGCTGCTGATGATGCTGCTGGTGATGTTCACCATCATCTTCATCAACATCATCGCGCCTCCGTCGCCGCCCCTAGCGTACTCTGCGCGCGCCTCCGAGAAGGTATGTTTGCCGTTACTTGTTCCTCTGCTCGTGAGGTCGTGCTCGAGCATGGTCTGCGCATCGAGCGCTCGCGGCGTGGATAATGCCGAATCGCCGCTGGGGGAAGTGAGAGAAGACGCACCATGACCATGACCTGGATGTCGCGGTGTATTGTCGACGCCGATCTTGGTAATGGTCCATGCCTGCCGTAGAAGGCCCTCGAAGATGATGCACACATTGACGATGACCAAGATGCAGGATGACCAAGATCGGCACCGACGTTTCCGAGTTGAAGCCAGTCGCGATCCCCTCCTCACGTCGGTAGTGCGCAGCCTTCAAGGCGTCAGTCTCACGCGCTCTCTCAGTGTGGAGCGTGCCGCGTTGCCGCTGGGAGAAGCCCTGGCCAGGGTCATCCCGGACGAGCAGGGGCAACGTGTGGAGGGGCATGTGCTCAGGGGGTGTTGCATCGACCCCAATCGTCCACTCATCGCCGATTGGGCCCCACACGGCCCACCCCGCCCAGGAAAGTTTGGAGTCGCTATCGGGGGCCTGCCGCCGATCCATCGGCGATGCATCGCCGATTCAAGCCCGATGTTGACCCCCACGAGCCAGTCCCCCCCACTTTCGATGCCCCTCGGGTGAATTCGGTAGCTTCCCGTCGTGTCGGCCGGCGGCGGCCCCGCCCCCCGCCTCTGGCGTTCAGCGTTGGCCAGCGACCAAGAATCGGCCGATGTTGCACGGCCCGACGTGTCGGGACACGGCCGACCGCTCGAGGTGGAACGCTCCCCGCGGCGTCGGGAACCGCAGCGCCGAAGTCGGCGCGGCACGAGCCTGCCGTGCTCGGGCTCGGGCTCCGGGGCTCGGCCCCGAGGGCTCGGAGGCCTCGGCGGCCTCGGCGGCCTCGGAGGCCTCGGAGGCCTCGGAGGCCTCGGAGGCCTCGGAGGGCGCCTCCCCCGCGTGGGCCGCGCGCCCTCCCCCGGCGTGGGGCGCGCCCGCGCCGCCGCCGCGCGCGGCGCCCCGTGCGCGGCGCGGGCCCGCGAGGGCGCCCGCGAGGGGGCCCGCGGGGGTCGCCTCGTGCCGCACGCCCGCCTCCGCTCGGCAGGCCGTGCGCGCGCAGCCCTCGGGGCGCAGGGCCGACGGGGCCCGTTCGGCATGCCTCGGCTCTCCGGCATGAGGGATGAGGGTGGGCATGGAAGGTCATGAACGAAGGGGTCCAAGCAGCTGACGCATGGATTTCTTCGGAACGCGTTCGTGTTTGGAGGAGATGGCGGGAGAGGTACTCTAGGGGAAGCGTCTGGGGGTCATCCAGGGAAGACATTTGGTCGCTCTCGATTGGCAGAGGCTCTCCTGGAGAAGAGGGAGCCCGAGGCTCGGGTCTGCAGCGGGTATGGACGCTGGTGTGGCCCGCAGGGAGCGCCAGGAGGGGGATGGGCGGAAGGCTTCGGTCGGGCGGAAGGGGTGGGTTTGGGAAAGGGGGGGGTGCGAAATCTGCTGCATGCAGCAGGTTTCGGCCCCGCCGCCGGGCCCATTCCTCGATGCATGGGCGCCTCCCGGCGCCGGGAGGCGCCGGGAAAATCAGCTGCGTGAGCTGATTCTCAAACCCCCCCTTTGCTATCCCCCCCCTTTCGCCCGACCCGAATGATGGGCGGAAGGCTTCGGTCCGGGCGAGGGGCGCCCCCCGAGCGCGCACGGCCGCGGCTCCGGCGGGGCGGGCGCCGCGGGAGGGAGCGCCGCGACGCAGAGCCCGCGCGGGCCCAGCGTTGTGGAATTTGGACGCCCGAGATGGGCACGGAAAGAATGGGTACGATGCCCAACAGCGGGTCTTGTGCATTCTGAGCAGGATTCGCTGTCCACGCCGCCGCGGCCTGTGTCCATTCGAGACAGGATGCCGCCTGCCCAACAGCGGCCGCTGTTGGTTTGGGACAGCATCTGTTGTTGGGCATCGTACCCATTTTTTCGGTTCCCATGTCGGGCGCCCAAACCGTGGGGGCTGAACGGCCCACGCATGCTCAGTGTATCGCTCGTGTGTGTGATCGGGTACGATTGGCACCCAGGGTTGGCGGTCATGGAGGGCCAGTCGTTCGTGCCCGCGCGTTGCCCGCGCGGGCTGGCTCTCTGGGTTGGCCCAGCACTGTCAGGCCTCCTGGATGGGGTCCGAGTAGATGGGGTCGGAGGATCACGCCGCATCGCCGATGCATCGATCGTGCGGCGCGATGCGGAGCCCGATTTTCCCCTATGCCGATGGCGCCGATGTATCGACGCCGCCGAGGCATCGGCCATGCATCGTCGATGCGTCGGCGATGCGGCGCGATCCTCGGACCCCATCTCCTCCGACCCCATCTAGGAAGCCTCTAGCATTGTCTCCGTCGGCCAGGACGGGCGGGCAGGATCGAGGTCCTCGGTTCGGGGAATTTTTGTGGCCTCTGTGTCATTCTGCGGGCCCCGTGTTCGGGCCCTGGGGCCGCGAGAAGCGGATCCGGGGTGAGAAGTTGCACCAGGTGGACTCCGGGAGGGGTCTGGAGACCGATTTTGTCCGCCGGGGCGGCGTGGCGCAAGCAGCAGTGGGGAGAGCTCGAGTTCGAACCCACGCCCCTGCCACCTTCGGGCAAGCATATTACCCTTGCAGTGGGGGTGCACATCAAGAAGCCATCTGCTTTTCGTGGGGCTATCCTGGGTTTCTTCGCTCCGCGCGCGGAGCGGTGACTTCCCGCAGCAGTTGAAGGAGCTGCTGCGTTCAGAGCGTTCTGGTTTCACCCTCAGATGCACATTGCGCGCGGGTTTTCAGGGTTGGGTTTTTTGTCAGGGTTTCTTGCGGCCGCGCTCACACTGTAGTAAGACCGATTCGAAGTGGATTTGGCTTCATCCACCCCCTCTGACCGATCTTCTGCGGTCCCAACCAGTTCAAACACCCGGGCCGCCTCGAACGATGTACAGTCAACTCGCCTAGTAAGGACGCATGCCTTCATCTAGGGTACCCTTGAGTCCTTGCCTCTGCGGCCCGTCCTTCGCCGTTTTCACTGGCCGCCCCCCGCCCGAAAAATCCAACTTCGGCCTCCAAGGGTCTTGCGTCCTTACCACCCGTCCTTAATAAACGTTTTGACTGTAGTACAGGCTCGAAGTGCTGCCACGAGCGCGTTCTGGAGGGCGCTGGTTTCCGCACGTGCCGCTGTTCTGGCCGGCGCGCCTGCGGGCGCGCCGAAGGGGCCATCGGGGCAGGCGGAGGGCCGGAGGGCTTGTTCGGCATTTTTCAGGAGGGGAAAAAGCACACAGACACAATTAATCGTCGATTCCCCAGAAAATATGGGAAAATATGGGAGGGAAAACAAAAACCCAGAACATATGGGAAACTATGGGGAATCCTGTTAGTTGTGTGTATTTATTTGTGTGTCCTGGGGCCGCTTCAATTTCTGGAGGCGCCGGTCCTCGCACTGCGTGCCGAGCAACACGCCCTCGAATCTGGAAGCTCGAATTGGATACGGAAAAAATGCTCACGAAGGCCAAGAACAAGTGTGGTCCAAAACCGACAGTCGCCGTTGTTGGGCAGGCGGCCTTCTGTCTCCAATCAGCGAGGCCCCCGGCGACGCGGACAGCGAGCTCTGTTCAAAATAACTAGGAGCTGCTGCTGGGCACCGTACCCATTCTTTCGTACCCATTCTGTTCGTGCCGGCCGAACGCGCCCGAAGGAAGGGCTCCTCGGGGCAGCCTACTCTCGTCCCACTCTGCCCTCTCCTCCCCCATCCTTCTTTCTTGTGGTACAGTCGGGGCGCTGAAGAAGGAACCCTCTTCGTTGGGGAGGGGCTCGGTGTTCCTTGATTGTGTCACGGCTTGCCTAAGGTTTGCCTTAGGTTTTCGATGGGAAGCCGAAGTTTCACTTATGGATGAAAGAGGCCTCGTTCCTTATTTAGGGTTCCTTGGGTCAACGCCCCGACTGTAGGTGTGTGTCGTGTCGACGCGGCGGCGGCCTCGTCGACGCGGGCGTTCAAATTGTGGAACGCCGCCAGGGGCCCGGAAACGGCCGACCCAGAGCGGTCCTGCGCGAGCGGCAGGCCGCGATCTCAAGGTCGAGCGACCCACGCGGAGGCAGACAGGGTCAGTCAGGAGGGACAAAAAAACACACAGACACAATGAATCGTCGATCCCCGAGGAAATATAGGAAAATATGGAGAGGGGGAGGGAAGAGAAAAGCACAGAACATCCAGGAAAATATGGGGATTCCTGTGATTTGTGTGCATTTACGTGTGTGCCCAGGGGCCCCTTCAGTCAGGGGCCCGTGCCGAAGTCGTCACGACACGAGCCTGCCGCCTCCGCTCTCGCGCGCCCCCGGCCCCGCCGCGCCAGGCGTGGTGGTGGCTGCAGCTCATCCGCCCAGCGAGCTCCAGGACCCCCTGGGCGGACGTCGAGGACTGCTGGGACCGTCTCTCGGGCTCTGGTTCCCCTACTGGGATGACCGTGGGGGGTCCTAAGTGGATAGCGGGGTTACAAGTGGATGCCAAGGTGGGTTATATCTGGCCCAACCTGGCTTATAAGTGGGTTGCAAAAGTAACGCCGGGGCAGAAACGCGTGCACTCTGCAGCGTCCCACGAGGCGTCGACAGCCCCGAGGGGGAGGCTTGCCGAGTCCGTTCTTCCCCTGGAAGGCGAATCTCGCTGGCGTGAGCTCTCGGGGCGCCCTCGGGTTGCGACCGACACGAAGGTACTGGGATGACCGTGGGGGGTGCTAAGTGGATAGCGGGGTTACAAGTGGATGCCAAGGTGGGTTATATCTGGCCCAACCTGGCTTATAAGTGGGTTGCAAGTGCCCTAAGTAGCTTAGGAGGGGTCGATAACTCGGCTAAGTGGGCGGAGCCCACCTAGCCCAGATCGCTAACCCCCCTAAGCTACTTAGGGCACTTGCACATGACCTCGTACAGTTCCAGCCAGTTTGGTACCGCCCCCCCCCCATCCTTGTCAAAGAGCGCAATGTGGTCACACTCTTTTATCTCGAAACAGTAGGTCGAATCTGTTGAAACGCACGCGACGTCCACGCGCGCGCACATGTGGAACACATGCCAAGCATAAATTTGCTGCGAAGATATCAATATAAATACATCTAGGACCGACTGGCTTCCCATCAAAGCTATTGCATCTATTCTGCCCGCGCGCATTTGCTGAACTCATCGGAGCACCGTACGAAGTTAATAATCTCGTCTGGAGCCCGCGTTCTCACGTAACGCGCGGTGCATATGCGTTGCATGCACCCATGCACGAATCCGTGTCAAATGACACCAGGCGGACAACTCGCGCGCGCAGCCACGCGCGCGCGTCAAAATCTGTTCAGATCCAGTTGCTTTCGAAGAAGATCAAGATAGAGCGCTTCGAACACACATGGAAAACCAGGTTAGTTTCAACCAGAGTCTGGCATATCTCGGCAATTTCTGCGCGCGCGCATCTCACCCTCCCATCAACGCCTTCGCATCACTGCCGTCATCGTCAGCTCCAACCGCCTCCACTGCCGCACTCATCAGCACAACAACCAACCACCTTACCCACCGTCACATGGACATCTTCATCGGAATCGTTGTTACCAGCATCGGCGCCGTCATTGGTTCTGTCGTCGTGATCGTCATCCTTGCCACAACCATCGCTACTATCATCATCGTAGCCGCCGTTGGCGGCGTCATCGTGTCACCGCGCCCGCCCGAACCACCGACCCGCACTGATGCGACCGGGCGCCAGCATGGCCTTCGAGACGCGCTGGTAAGCTTCCATCGGTAATCGGAATCTCGGTCGCATCGGTTGGGCCACACCAGTTTGTCGCCATGCGCGCGAACGTTCGCGATAGAGGTGCGCTAGCAAGTGCCAATCGACAACCGCAGTCGTGGCAGCATGGGTTCTGCTAAACAAGGTGCGGGTTGGTGGGTGGGACGATCGGGCGGGCAATGGAGTTGACACGACGTCGGTTGACAGCAAGTAGTTGCACCACGTAGCTTGTGCCATATGGCTTGCACTCTGTAGATTACAACATCTAGCCTGCTTCACGCAGCTTTCACAACGTAGATTGCACCACGTGGATAGTATACTACAGCCTGCACCATATAGCTTGCATCATGTAGCCTGCTCCACACAGCTTGCACCACGTCAATTGTGTCACTTAGCTTGCACAACACAGTGGATTGTTCGACAATTAGTGATTTGTATTGTGAGCTCGATCGAGAGATCGATAGCCAGATCGAAATTGGGATCGATGGTGAGGACGAACAAAAGGTGGGTCATGAGAAGTCGTTCCAGTGCGATCGATAGTGAGATCAATCGTGAGGTCACTCGTGCGATCCGTAGTGAGATCGAGTGTCAAATCGATAATGAAGTCGATCATGGAATCGATAGAGAGGTGGGTAATGAGATCGATGGTGAGACCGATCGATAAGGAGATCGGCCAGGAACCAGGGAACCCAGAAACCCAGGAACCCCGCTGCCCCGCGAAATCGGCTCGGAACCAACAACGGGCTACCGGGGAACCCAGAACCGGGAACCCGGGAACCTGGCGGCCCACCGAAATCGACCGCCTACTTTCGCCAAATCTTTTACGATGCCAGGACCCCTTCAGTGCAAGCGCTGCTTGGGGAAAAACCACAGCTTCAACCACATAACTTGCAAAACGTCGCTTTCACGTTGTGGCTTGCGCCGCGTAGTCTGCACCACATAGCTTGCACCACATATCTTGCACCACGTAGCTTGCACCGCACAGCTTACACCACGTGATTGCAGCACCAGCTTGCGTACACATCCACTGTGTCATGATTTCAGGCTTGGGGTCCACGCTGGCAAACATTCTTTCTACTGTCCAGTCGGGGGGGGGTTGGCAGGTTTCGACGGCGCGATTTGGCATGAGCAGAAGCATCGGGCTTGGAACACTGTCAAGCCGCCCGCTTCGAATCGGTTTCAGAACACATGCCCTCAGATTTCTGAAAACTCAAGGGTCGTTCCACTTTCGTCCTTCACTCCCCCACCTCGAACAGACGAGGCCAGCGAATACCCCTGCACTCCGAGAGGTTGTTGCGCATTTCGCCTTGTGTGCCACCTGCTCCCATCTTCTCCTGGGCCACCTGCCCTGCGCAGAACGCCGACATCCGCGGCACATAAGCAGGTTTGGAGCGGTAGTGGACGTTTGAGTTTCTCGAGCTCGGCTTCCTGCTGCGATGTTGTTTTCCACTTGCTTCAGCCCTCTCTCGTTCGGCTTGCCTCTCGCCGTTCTCAGGGGCCGCGGTCGTGGCGGGACGTTCGGGCCCGACAGCGAGGGCGCACCGCTGCAATCTCGTCGGGTGTCGGGCCGGGGCCTTCTCTGTTCTGGTCTCCTGCAGCGCCCAGGCTGGGTACCGACGAGCTCTGGGGGCTCCAATCGACCGTTGAGCCAGTGGCCCAGCTGGGATTCGTGGTCGTGTCTTGCCCGCACCCCTGAGGTCTTCGTTGCAGAACATTGGGGCGCCACGAACAAGCACGACCGAAGCCCTGGACCGCATCGTGTTGCGGCATTGCAGCCATGCGCAGAGTGTTTTTTCCCAACCCTCCTTGGTTGGGTATTCGTTTTGAATAGAGCAGTGTGGTCGCGTCCTTCCTCCTCCCGCCTCCCGCCTCTTTCCTGCCTCTTTCTGTCTTGCCTGCGGGGGGCTGTGAAACTGTCGCCAGTTTCGAGGCCTGCTGGGGGGTCCAGCATAGAGGGTAATCGCGGCAGATCCAAATTAGACCTCGCCATTCCTGGGGGGCTGCGATCTGTGAAACTGTCGCCACTTTCGAGGCCTGCTGGGGGGCTCAGCATAGAGGGTAATCGCGGCAGATTCAAATTAGACCTCGCCATCCCTGGGGGGGGTGGGGGGGGGGGCTGCGATCTGTGAAACTGTCGCCACTTTCGAGGCCTGCTGGGGGGTCCAGCATAGAGGGTAATCGCGGCAGATCCAAATTAGACCTCGCCCTCCCTGGGGGGCTGCGATCTGTGAAACTGTCGCCACTTTCGAGGCCTGCTGGGGGGCCCAGCACAGTGAGGGCCACGCGCGGATTCAAATTAGACCTCGCCATCCCTGGGGGGCTGCGATCTGCGAAACTGCCGCCATTTTCGAGGCCTGCTGGGGGGCCCAGCACAGTGAGGGCCACGGGCAGATTCAAATGAGACCTCGCCGTCCCTGCGGGGCTGCGATCTGTGAACCTGTCGCCACTTTCGAGGCCTGCTGTGATCCCCGTTTTCGAAGTGGCTAGGAGTGCTCAGGAATTGTAAATCATCAGCTTTATCAAGCCCTTTTCCTGTAGCCAGTGTCCTGCGAGTCTCCCGAATTCCGTCTGCAGACATATGTAACCCTCGCTCCGTCATCGCCCCCTTATAAAGTATCCTAAACGATTTGCGCCCCGCTTTTGCGCAGGGGTTGGGTACGTCGCCAGGGTAATTTCCCAACCCTCCTTGGTTGGGTATTCGTTTTGAATAGAGCAGTGTGGTCGCGTCCTTCCTCCTCCCGCCTCCCGCCTCTTTCCTGCCTCTTTCTGTCTTGCCTGCGGGGGGCTGCGATCTGTGAAACTGTCGCCACTTTCGAGGCCTGCTGGGGGGTCCAGCATAGAGGGTAATCGCGGCGGATTCAAATTAGACCTCGCCATCCCTGGGGGGCTGCGATCTGTGAAACTGTCGCCACTTTCGAGGCCTGCTGGGGGGTCCTGCATAGAGGGTAATCGCGGCGGATTCAAATTAGACCTCGCCATCCCTGGGGGGCTGCGATCTGTGAAACTGTCGCCACTTTCGAGGCCTGCTGGGGGGTCCTGCATAGAGGGTAATCGCGGCGGATTCAAATTAGACCTCGCCATCCCTGGGGGGCTGCGATCTGTGAAACTGTCGCCACTTTCGAGGCCTGCTGGGGGGTCCTGCACAGAGGGTAATCGCGGCGGATTCAAATTAGACCTCGCCATCCCTGGGGGGCTGCGATCTGTGAAACTGTCGCCATTTTCGAGGCCTGCTGGGGGGCCCAGCACAGTGAGGGCCACGCGCGGATTCAAATTAGACCTCGCCATCCCTGGGGGGCTGCGATCTGCGAAACTGTCGCCATTTTCGAGGCCTGCTGGGGGGCCCAGCACAGTGAGGGCCACGCGCGGATTCAAATTAGACCTCGCCATCCCTGGGGGGCTGCGATCTGCGAAACTGTCGCCATTTTCGAGGCCTGCTGGGGGGCCCAGCACAGTGAGGGCCACGCGCGGATTCAAATTAGACCTCGCCATCCCTGGGGGGCTGCGATCTGCGAAACTGTCGCCATTTTCGAGGCCTGCTGGGGGGCCCAGCACAGTGAGGGCCACGCGCGGATTCAAATTAGACCTCGCCATCCCTGGGGGGCTGCGATCTGCGAAACTGTCGCCATTTTCGAGGCCTGCTGGGGGGCCCAGCACAGTGAGGGCCACGCGCGGATTCAAATTAGACCTCGCCATCCCTGGGGGGCTGCGATCTGCGAAACTGTCGCCATTTTCGAGGCCTGCTGGGGGGCCCAGCACAGTGAGGGCCACGCGCGGATTCAAATTAGACCTCGCCATCCCTGGGGGGCTGCGATCTGCGAAACTGTCGCCATTTTCGAGGCCTGCTGGGGGGCCCAGCACAGTGAGGGCCACGCGCGGATTCAAATTAGACCTCGCCATCCCTGGGGGGCTGCGATCTGCGAAACTGCCGCCATTTTCGAGGCCTGCTGGGGGGCCCAGCACAGTGAGGGCCACGGGCAGATTCAAATGAGACCTCGCCATCCCTGCGGGGCTGCGATCTGTGAACCTGTCGCCACTTTCGAGGCCTGCTGTGATCCCCGTTTTCGAAGTGGCTAGGAGTGCTCAGGAATTGTAAATCATCAGCTTTATCAAGCCCTTTTCCTGTAGCCAGTGTCCTGCGAGTCTCCCGAATTCCGTCTGCAGACATATGTAACCCTCGCTCCGTCATCGCCCCCTTATAAAGTATCCTAAACTATTTGCGCCCCGCTTTTGCGCAGGGGTTGGGTACGTCGCCAGGGTAATTTTTCGGGGAGGGGGAACGGCTTCTTAGAATCATCCCTACTTCTAAGAAGCCTTCCCCCTTCCCCCTACTCCCTTGTGCGAGCCGCCAAGCACTTCTCGAGCCAATTGATTTGTGATGCGGAGATCCGGGGAGTCAGTTGGGATTCGAGGTGACCGCGAGGTTTCGGACGTGGGCAGAGCTCCGAGGACGTCTCGGTGTGTCTGTCACCACCCACCAAACCACCCCAACCCAACCCGAAGGCCTCAATTTATCCTCGATTTCCAGTGGGGGGGGGGTCGGGGAACGTTGAGAAAACACATGGAATCCGTACCCCCCCCAACCCGAAATTCGGGTCAAATTCGGGTCTTCGGGTTGGGTTGGGGTGGTCTGGTAGGTAGTCAGTCTGGGGTCTCGAAAAGGTCCCAAGGCCGTCACGACCAGAGCCCCAGCCCCGATCTGTTTCTGCGGCATTCTGCGAGCTGGGCCGGTCTGTGGTGGCCCCGAGGCCCGCAGCCGTTCGCTGATCCTCGGAATGTGTGTTAGCCCAACGAGTGTTAACCCCCCACGTTCTCCTCGTCCTCCTCCTCCTCCTCGTCTCCCGTAGCCATTCAGCCATTCGTGCCCATGCTTCTCCATTACTGCAGGCCCGCCGTAGTCGCTGGCTCTTGTGCAGTTCTGGCTCATGGCACGCAACATCGAGGACGCGGCAGACGGCAGAGGCATCGAGGGGGTAATCGGCAGACCGCGCTCGCTGACCCTGGAGAGTGGCGCCGACTGCTCCATGGCGGGGGATATCGCGTGGAGTCGGGATTCCACCCACGCGATCTACTCCGCCGCTGCCACCACTAAGCCCGACACGGACGAGCCCGACTGGGCGACCTCCAGGGCTACCGACGAGCAACGGCAACAGCAGTATGAACTGGTGGAAGTCATCGGCGAGGGGGCCTACGGTACCGTCCACCTGGCGAGGGACCGCGACACCGGGGAGCAGGTGGCGGTCAAGCAGCTCAAGCTCGGCGGGGACTTCGCCGACGGTGTGCCGGCGCACGTCGTCCGCGAGGTGTCACTGCTGCGGGACTTCGTTCACCCGAACATCGTGCAGCTCAAGGACTGCCAGAACACGGGCGTCTCGGAATACCAGCTGATCTTCGAGTACGTCCCAGACGACCTCTACCGGATCATGCGGGGGCAGCGGAGGGAGGGCGTCCGGCTCCCCATGTCGAAGGTGCTTGGGTACTCGCGGGACTTGCTCAGCGGGGTCTACGCGTGCCACGCTCGGCTCATTATCCACCGCGACCTGAAGCCGCAGAACCTCCTCGTCCACCCAGTGCACGGCCTCAAGATCTGTGACTTCGGCCTCGCGCGCACCCTGTCGGTGCCCAGCAGGGCGTACACCCCAGAGATCGTCACCCTGTGGTACCGCTGCCTGGAGCTGCTCCTGGGGCGCCGCACCTACGGCGCCGAGGTGGACATCTGGTCCGTCGGGTGCATCGTCGCCGAAATGGCCGCCGGGCACGCGATCTTCCCTGGGGACTGCGAGATCGGCACATGCTTCAAGATCATGCAGCTGGTGGGCTCCCCCACGGAGGCGACCTGGCCTGGCTTCGAGCAGATGCTCCCGCTTTGGAGCAAGCGCTTCCCGACGTGGCCAGCGTCCGACATGAGGGCTATCCGAGATGCGCGCCCAGAACTCGGCGAGGCCGGGATCGACCTCGTCCGCAGCCTGTTGTCCTTGAACCCGTCCTCGCGCCCGATCGCCCGCCGGGCACGGGCCCACGCCGTCTTCTCCCAGCCCGGCCCCGCCGCGTAGCGCAAGGGTGGCGGGGGAGACGGCGGGACGGCTCCCGCGACGGCGGCTGACGGTGTCGAGGATCTGGGGTGGAAGGGGGGGGGAGAATGGGGAATGCCGCTCCCGTACAGCGTACAGCTGCAGCACAGCCTGACGGTCAATCGAGTCGAAGCCTGGGCTCCTGCCCTGGGCTCGCCTCCCCAAGGAGGCCTTCGGCGCAGCTCCTGGGAGGATGGAGTCCAGCATCGGGCCCCCGGTGCCTGCACACTTGGTAGAGTTCTATTGTAGTTGTCTTCAACCGCTCCTCCGCGAGGACCTCCCGGAGGTGCCCCCCTCAGATTTTATGCGGCGGTCGGGGGTCTTTTGGCCTGCTGTAAGTGGCAGCTGCGCCCAGCCTTGGGTGGTCGCCGCGCCTGCGTACGAAGCGTCGAGTTTCGAGCTTCAACACGGCCGAATCCTACTATCGAGGGGGGGCTTCAGAGGAGGAACATGTACCCGTGCCACACCTTTCCCGGTCCGAGTGCCGCGGGACGCGCGCCGTCCAGGGTCTGCGACCTGGCCAGCTTGCGCGTGCACTCCTACCTGCTTCTCTTCCTCATCCTCACTTGCCTCACTGTGATCCTTCTCTTACCCCATCTTCTCGGCAAAGGGGCAATTTTGCTCGCTAGGGAAGGTTCGGCGCACCAGCAAGCATGCGTCCGCTCGCAACGTTGTTGCGGGGCGATTTGATTGTTCCACAATAGCTCACTAAGGTTCCAGTGTCTATTGTAGTAGCTGCCGGCTAGCGCCGCAGACGAGACACTTTCTTCCTGGATTTAAATGACGGTGAGGAGGACAGAGACCGGTGCCGAATGGCGTTTTACCTGCAGCAACCGGCTCTGCCTTTTGCCTCTTGTTTCGAAACCGCGCCTCCGGCAGCAGTTTGCTGTTCCACTTATTTGACCTCTGACGTTCACGGCTTTTTTTTTCTCTCTCTCTCTCTCTCTCTGACGTCTTCTGCTCGTTCGCGTGATGCACGATGTACCCTTGTGGTTGCAGGTGCTATATGTATTGTTTCTCGCATTGATATTAATTTGCTGTTTTTAGGTTCGTCATTGTATTAGTGTTAACGCTTCGCGTATCCCCACCAGCCGTCTCTCTGTTGTTTCCCTTAGCGTGTGGCACTGCCTGCCCCTGCTTGCTCGGCGTTCGACTCGTTTCGCGCGCCTGCGTACCAAAAAGTATCCTCACGAGCCCATCCAGAAACAATGCCCAGGGGAGTTGAGGTGATTAGGGAAGTGGGGGAGCATGCAGAAGTACAAAGGGCGGGAGAAGCCGTCCGAGGTGGGGAAGGGAGGGGAGGGAGGGAGGAGGAGGAGGCGGATAACGAGGAGGAGAAGGAAGAGGAGGAACATGAGCAGGAGGAGGAGGAGGAGGAGGAAACATAACGAATGTAAGAGCCTTCCCGAATGTCTCCTGGGAGTTTTTTGGAGGCCTCTTGGAAGGTCTGGCGGGCATCTTGGGTGCCTCGGGGTTCCTCGTGAAGCCTCTTGGGGGCCGCTTGGAAGCCGTTTGGAGGCATCTTGGGCGCATCTTAGGGCCGTAGGGCGCCTCTTGGGGCCCTCTTGGGGTGTTCTTGGATACCCTTGGGAGCGCTTTTTGGGCCATCTTGGAGGAGATCGATCAAAGAAGACGGGCTCCCCAACTAGCCTCGCCATTCTAGAGTGCCTAAGATCGCCTATTGGGCCCCTCGTGTGGCGCTTTGGAGCGCTCGTGGGCGCTCCTGGGAACGTCTTGGGGCTTTCTTGGGCCCCTCGGGCCCTCTGAGCCCTCTTGGAGCCATCTTGAGGCCCGGAATGGCCATCGGAAGCGAAAATGCGAGACAGCAAAACATATTGATTTCCAAGATTTTGAAAGGAGTTTGGCCTCTTCGTGGCCTCCTCGGGAAGCTTTTTGGCCACTTGGAGCTTGAGCCATCCCGGAGCTCATCTTGGGCTCCGAGGCGCTCTTGGAGTCATCTTGGGCCATCTTAGACGCCCAAACGTTTCGGGGGACCCCCCGTCCAGGTCCAGGGGAAGGGGTAGGGAGAGGGGTCAAGCTTCCCACCCGCCCGCCAGCCGTCTTGCTCACATACACCCGCCCTCCCAGCACACACGTAACACCCAGGAGTCAGCAGATCGCGTAAGAACGACGTAGACGCCACGGGTTCCAGATGCATCAGGCCTTGGAGGCCCAATCGTGCCATGCGCGCCAGGTGCGGCACGTGCTCCACGTGCGCCCAGTGTTCCACGTGCTCCAGCCGCGCCAGGTGCGCCAGCCACTGGGAACCAATAGGGACTCTTGGGCCCGGCTTTGAACTTTCTTGGCCAATTTTGGGGCCATGTGGAGGTTTCGAAATCCCATCGGAAACGGTAAGGCGAAACGGCAGCAGTCATTGATGTGCCAAACCAGTCGGTCGATCATTTGCGCAGGTGGGTTTTACCCCAGCAGCCCTTTGAAATACCAATACGAAATGATCACGGGGCGGCCGCGCATGCTCCAAATGTGGAGGCAGAGTGCGTTTTGGATTATTTTGTTGACAGAGATGGCGGGGGGGGGCCCTCATGGGGTTTGCATGGTTCTGGATTGATTGCCGGCCAGGTGGGGCAGAGGGTGTATATTAATAGGGAACAGTGATAAACCCTTCCCCGAAGGGGGAGAGGGGCAGATGGAAGAGAAAACACCCGAGACCACCTACGCCCTAAAGGGCTGGTGGGAATTAATAACTCGCCTCCTCTTCCCCCCTCCCTGCACAGCGTGGCCGTTTGGGCAACCTAGTAGGGGTTATAAACCAATAGTTTGTGCAACCGCTTGGCCGATACGTTTCACAGGGGAAACGTATCATTCGCCTTGTGGGTTTTCTTTCGCCTCCCTTTCCTCCTCCTCCTCCTCTTCCGCCTCCTTGGTGCATGGTTCGCTTCGTTCAGCTCCAGAGGGCTCGAGTCCCAGAACCTGCCGAATACGAGGGGCATGCAGAGGCGTTGGCCTCGATGACCCTCAATTGCGCAGCTGTTGGTTCGTGTGCGCTGCATCTCTTCCGCCTTCCCAGAGTCGAAACTGTGTAGGCCCGTCTGCTGGCCTGAGTGCGGCGTGTGCTTGTGGGACCGTGGCCAGTCAGCCCCCCTCATGAGCGTCTAAATGCGCTATAGCGCAGGCAGGGCAATGGCAGCTGTGCGGCGATGCGTTCTGTGAACGAAGCAGGCGTGAGCGCAGGGGCTCCCCGACAAGAAGCTAGTGAACCTTGGCTGCATGCCCTGGATCGTGGACCTGTTCGCGCCCCTGCGCGCTTCGACCGTCTCCCTCTGCGTCTGCCTCTCTCTCTGCGGCTGGGTTTCCCCGCCGGGTACGCAGAGCCGCGTGTGCGGCTGTGCGCCCAGGCCGCATCCACAGGGTCGCGGCTGGCGCGTTGAAGACTTTGCTCTGGACGACTGCCCCGCCGTCCGCTGGCTCACCGCCCGCTCTGGGCACGGGTTCAGTACAGTTGAGCGCCCTGCCGCAACGATGACAACGATAACGATCACAGCGATCACAACGACAACGATAATAACGATAGACAACGACAACGATAACAGCGACAACAACGATCAGTGCCTTGCTCTGCTGGTGCTCTCTGGTGGCTCGCGGAGCGTGTTTTTTCTACCAAGGATAAGAGATGCTTTTTCCTCCGGCCGAGGACTGATAACAAAAAGACGCGCGTGCTCGCTCTCTGCACCGACGCTCGTGTTCCGTTTGTTCGTGCCCATGGCGTCTAAGCCCCTAGAGTGCCTCAGCGTGCGCTAGCGCCTGGCAATCGAAGAGAAGGCGCCGACTGATCGTCGACTGGCTTGATTTGGCGCCGACTCGCGTCGAGTCGCAAGAGCCCGCTAATGGACATGGGAGGCCCTCATGAGTTGCCGCGGAACTCCGTGGGCGTTAGGCACGTCCGTGTCCACGGCCTCGCGGGGGCGGCCCCCCTATGGCGCGCCCCCCCTGCGCGCGGGGCGCTCGGTGTCGCGGATGCACCGCGCGGACCGCGCCCGTGCGACCGCGCATCCGCGGGACCGCGCCCCCGGAGCCCAGACCGCGAGGGCGTGGGGAGAACGCAGCACGTCCGCCGCTCGTGGTGCCAGTTTACGAGGCCTGCACCTCGAGCCGTCGCCCTCTCGTTGCGAGTCGTGCTCGCTGCTCGGCTCCCGCCCCGCGCTGTCCCCCTCCTGGGCCCAGGTCTCGACGCGAGCAGAGCCCAGTCGAGGCAAGCCCGCGCTGCACCAGAGCTCCTGCGGGCGCGGCGCGCGCGCGTGGCGCGGCGCCCAGGAAGCAGAGCTGGATGCAGAGCGCGAGGGCAGGAGCATCGGACACCTGCAAGTGTTAGGGCAGGAGGTGCTGCCCACCAGCTGCGGCACGCAGCTGGAGCTTGGAGGGCCCCGAGCCACTCCGGCCCGAGCCGAGCCTCCCGCGGCGTGCTTACGCGTCCACTCCCGTCCACGCGCTCCAGCTTTTCGCGCGAGGGCAAGTCGCACCCTGAGCTCCATTGTTTGGGAATAGACGGCGCAGCCGCGAATCGTGACGCTACTTGCCCCCTCCCCCCAGTGACGGCCCTGACCGCGAGCGAGAGGGTGAAAACGAACACTCGGCTCCAGGATGTTCGCGAAGCTGCGAGCCCAGGGGGCGAAGCTGCGAGCCCAGGCCTTCTCAGAAGGCGCAGAAGTCCTCCGGCCTCCCGAGAAGCTTCCGAAGTTGTCCCTAGAAGCTTGAGGTGATCGACTACTTCGCGCGTCGGCCCGTGATTGCCCCATCGAAGAAGCAAGATACAGCATTCACATACACTCGCGGAGGTCCGCGCTGATGTCTCGGATTGGCGCAGTGCCGCCCTGGCGGCGTCTCTGGCGCCGCCAGGTGGTCCAGCGTTGATCCAATACATCCGCGCCGACCTCCGGAAGTACTGCTTTTGTTTTCCTTGCTCAACCGTGGATGGTGTTGGGTGCTCGTCTTGAAGAGAGTGCCCCGCGGGCCACCTCTCCTCATTCCATCCCTTCTCCCTCCTACCTCCTCCCATCCCTGCCTCTGCCCTCCGCATGTGAACCATTTCGGGACACCCCTCACGCGTTTCGTGGCCCCACGGGGAGCTCCACCGAAGGCCCCAGAGGGAGCGTTCGCATGTGGGGGTCGCTCCCGTTTCGGCAAACCCTTGACGCGATCCGTGGCCCCATAGGGAGCTCCACCGAAGGCCCCAGAGGGAGCGATCGCATAGGGAGTCCGCCGAAGGCCCCAGTGGCGGTGTCCACATGCGACCGCCCCACCAATTTCAGGAATGTGGCAAATCCTCAGTGGTTTTGGACCCCGACCCTACGGATCTGCGTGAGGGGTGCCGCCGAATTTCAGAAATGTGGCAAATCCCTGTTGTCTTGGGACCCTGACCCTGCCGATCTGCGTGAAGCATACCGCCGAATTCTAAAGACGTCGCAAATCCTCTATGTATTTTGACCCTGACCCTGCCGATCTGCGTGAGGGGTGCCACCGAATTTCCGCACGCCCCTCACACGCTTCGTGGCCCCACAAGGAGCTCGCTCCACCGCTGGCCCCGGTGGCGGGTGTCATCCGCAGGCGGCCGCCCCACCCGTTTCGGCACACCCAAAAGACGCTTCGTGGTTCCATGCGGTGCCGTTTTTAATACGTGCTCCGCGTGCGGATCATGCATTGAAGATGCAGGCATTCTGTATGAAAAACAACGATGAGCTCATGCATACATTCATTCATAAGACAGTCACGTATTAACAATCCCATATTAAACAAAATCCCTGTATTCAACACTGCCCTGTATTCAGCTCCACACGCGGCCGCAGTGGCAGTGTCCACATGCGGCCGCCCCGCCCCATTTCGGCGCACCTCCCCACGCGCTCCGGCGGTCCCCTCGGGAGCTCGCCCAGAGCCCCCAGTGACAGCGCCCGAATGGCAGTTCCGCCCCACTTCGGAACACCCCTCCCTTCGCCTCGTGGCCCCAAAGGAGATCCACCGAAGGCGATATCCACAACGACCTGTGCTCGCAACTGCACATGGCTGGACCCCTCGTCAGGGTCCTCGTCTTCCAGACCGAGCCCAGGGGGATGCACCTCTCGAGGGCCCGATCCTGCATGAGCAGAGGGGTCGGGCCTGGAACCACGTCAAGCCGCCCGCCGTGCTGGGGGGGGGTGGTGGCCGAGGTCCCGCCGGGCGCCCGCCCGCTGCGGGCATGCCGAGGTCTCGCCGGGCGCCCGCCAGCGGGCGGCTCGTGGGCGTCCGTGGGCGCCCCGAGCCAGAGGGGGCACGCCGAGGTAGCGCCTGGCGCCCGCCCGTGGGCGCCCCCCGGGAGCGCCCCTTCGCCGCGGGGGTGTGCGGAGGCCATCGCCCGGCGCCCGCCCGGGGGGCGCCCCGGTGGGAGGCCCTCGTGGGCGCGCCCCTCCCCGCGGGAGGGGCACGCCGAGGAGCGGCGCGGTGGCCGCCCGGGGCCCGCCTCGGGAGCCGCCCCGCCTCGTGGGGGGGGGGGTCTGCCGAGGTCTCGCCCGGTGCCCGCCCGTGGGCGCCTCGAGGGCGCCCCGACGGCTCACACAACTCCGACTCGCTTTTCAAGAGAAGAACGCCCGTGGGCGCCTCGCGCCGTGAGGTGGGGGGGGGGGACGTGGTACAGTCGGGGCCCTGAAGAAGGAACCCTCTTCGTGGGGGAGGGGCTCCGCGTTCCTGAAGTGTTTCGCGGCTTGCCTCGGGTTTTCCTGCTGTTTTCGATCGGAGATCGAAGTTTGACTCATGGAAAACAGGGGCCGCGATCCTTATTTTGGGTTCCTTAGGTCAAGCCCCCGACTGTATCGCCTCGTCCTCGCCCGTGGGCGCCTCGAGGGCGCCCCGACGGCTCACACAACTTCGATCCGCTTTTCAAAAGGAGAACGGGCCCTACCGCCCTCCTCGGGAGTCGACAACCCCTGGAATAGTGTACGTTACGCTGAACTTGGTCACCTGCGCACACCTGGCACATGTCAGCTTTTTAACGGAAGCTGCCTGACAACCACGGCCAGGGACCTCCTGCCCCTGCCCGCAGCCTCACGACCTGCGGCGGCAGCTGCTTCCGACGCACCACCACCTGCGGCGGCAGCTGCTTCCGAGGCACCAGCCGCAAACCAAACTGCGCGGCTACGAGCTCCGAGGCTTGTTTTCAGAGCTGGACCGACAGCAGGCGCCAGCAGCCACGACATCACAGTAGGTAGACATGCTGCTGAGCTGGCCGCGGGGCAACCTGCTTCGAGTGGAGCAGGCAGCTCGGACGACCACAGACGACTACCGCAAATAGCAGCCTGACGAGGACGACAGCAAGGAAGGGATCCACTTCCACCACCACCTGCGGGTGGCCGCGCTGCTCGTCCAAGGCTCCCCCTGACTGGTCAAGGTTCGACGTACAACTTAGTCTGCAGAACCTGCGTAGCCTTGACCCAAGCGCGGTAACACGCGAGCTACGAGAACAACACTTGCGGTGGTTCCACGCCAAAGAACCTAAGATGTGACTCGGCTTAACCAAGGCTGGTCGTGACAGCGTTAAGCTAAACATAAAACAAGTTCGGTGATACATTCTTGGAGTGCTGGGCCTGGGAAGCGCCTGGACATGCCGTCATACCGTCTACTGCGCGACCTGTCATGTTTCATGACGAAGTCGAATGCGATCTGATGTTCTACAAAGAGGAACATCATCTATTCCGTATGATCGATTGTTTTATTCGATGCGGTGGTGGAATCGAGATACCAGACAGAACCATGACCAGCATTGTAGACGCGTACCATCAGTGCAGGATGCAATTCGGACCCACCGAAGTTTTTTTTCTATTTTTTTACGCTGGTGGGGAAGGTACGCTCAATAACGACACCGCAAAAGGCAGTCCTTCAGGCAGAAGGCGCCGAGCTGGGGATCCGTGCGCGTGGACAACACGCAGAGACCATTGAAGCCAGAAGTGGTAGACCACGACACCAACTTCACATCATGGAGGCTGAACTCAACAGGTTAGACATTCCGCTTGTGTTCACCCGTCTACTGCACGAAGCTTTCTTTGCCGCCAATGCGTTTACCTTCTGCAATGAGGCGTCTCCAGGCAACGCACCGTTCGGCCGACAGCCAGCGACGCTACCCCGC